AGCTAGTTGCTATGAGAAACTGGCAGGATGCCGGGGCCACCAACCTGGTCGCAAATACTTTGAGTGGACGTGGGGATTCCCCACTAAGTAAAGGAGAGCCCACCTAAATGTTTTACCTTGAGGAAACATCTCTCCATGACACCAGCAGCAGCAATCTCAATGTAACAAGTAGAAACAACAAAATAAAGAGAGCAATTCTACAAAAACATTTCTTTTGTATCTGACATTACGTCATTAAACAGTTTTACGAGATGAGTTTTAGTGCACGCTGATTACTGAATTGCCAGCAATTTCTGATTGAGGTCACAATGTTTATTAAGATCCCGGGACCCCTTCAACATGATGATCATATGCTGATTGAATACCCAATAACAAGATCAATAAAACGTGCAACAAACAAAGCTACGTTCTACCTCCAAGAATCATACGCAAAGGAATCTTCACTCACAGACGGCTCGAACATCTAATATTTTAACAAACATCCTGCAAAAGAGCTGTACCACTTAAAGTCCTCTCCCTTCCATTTCAGCACGGATTCTTACAGTAGTAAGAAGGTCTAGAAATAAAAGGAGGGTCAACATGATAATCATATGCTGATTGACTACCCAATAACATGATCAATAAAACGTGCAACAAACGAAGCTACGTTCTACCTCCAAGATTCAAACGCAAAGGAATCTTCACTCGCAGACAGCTCGAATACAAACATCCGGCAAAAGATCTGTACCACTTAAAGTCCTCTCCCTTCCATTTCAGCGCGGATTCTTACAGTAGAATTGAGTTCTAGAAATAAAAGGAGGGCAGACACGGATTTCGTATTGTATGCTTTTCCTTCCCGATTTCTGCCCTCTAAAAAATAAATGAGGGTTTTCGTGGGTGGAATATGGGAGCCAAAAGATGAAAGAAGAAGGGGGTTATGCAAAAACGTATTTATGAGGGAGCAGCCAAGGTGGTCCACTAATAACACCAAACAGAAATCAAAGCACTTGAGTCGAAAAAGAAAAATCCAGCAGAATAAATGAAACCAAATTTTTAATCTTTATGTAGAGCAAGTTTTGTATTTCTATTTAAAATTCTTAGGTATATGCTTATTAATTTATAAAGTTATTTTTCATACTTGTATTGCAGAATCTGGAGTTTATGTACATTGTATGAAATGCCATGTTCTACATCCTTTGGCTGAGTCCAAAGGATGATCTATGTAATGTAAATAAACTCAGCTCTAACATACCTGAATACCGCATTTCCTTACCCAAGTCAGCCAAAAATTATAAAAAACATTATTTCTTTTTCAAAAATTTCGCACCACAACCTGTCTCTAACAAACCCGGTCTCTGCTGGACTCGGTATCTTCAACACTGGCTGTGCCTCACCCAGTTTCTACCAGGCCAGCTCCTTGCAGAGACCGAGATCGAGTCCGGCAGACACCGGGTGATTTTTAAAATAATGTCCAAAGTTTCAAAAAATGCTTTAAATTGTCCAAAAAGCGCAAACAACTAAAAAAATTGAAGAATTTCAACTTCAAATCTTTTTCAAACATTTCTTTTCGAAAAATTTTCGTTTTCTGCGCTTTTTAGACAATTTAAGCATCCTATCGCGCTACGTGCCCAGCCCATCACACACACACACGCACAAGGTGGTTGACTCTCCTCGATTTGCTGCACCAAGAGTGGAGCGAGGTTCCAGCCGCCCGCACCCACGCACGTCTCTCCCCACCCGTTGGACGTGTGCGAGAAAGAGGCACTCGCAGGAGCTGATTTTGATATGAGAACAGTCGCACGCGAAAGAGTCGAGCGTCGGAAGTCGAGGCGCTACACAGAGATGCCGGCCTGCCTAATCACCTTGGTCACTTTGGTAAGTCACAACTGCAATTCGCCATAGAGCCCAGGGCTGCGTGGCTTCTGTGAACCTCGAACACGCGTAACATCAGCCGTACTGCTCCGGAGTCTCGTGACCTAACGCACCCACCAGAGACAGTTTTGCAAGTGTTGCAATCATAAGGCAGATTTTATAAGACGAGAACTTTGAAATGCCGTACTACGAAGCAGAGCTGATAATTTTCACTATTCTTGGCTGAGAGGGATGGGCGTAGAGGGTGAGGATTTGAGGTTTAACGCACAATTCAATTTGCTATTTTAATATCGAATAAAATTAATGCAGTTGAAACAGGTAATTGCAATGTCAAGCAGGAGATGTTTACCAAAGCGGTCCAGCGAGGCTGCTTCAAGGCAGAATCAGGCCACAGTAATGTAGCTGTTGCATAAATATCTTCGAAGCAAAAGGAAATTTAATTATAAGAATGTATTTTTAAGCAGCTGGTAAACTTTGGAGACGACGGTGGCTGTTCAGATACTGGACCAGTAGAACTCGTGAACAATCGCGTTACGACCTTTAAAAAAAAAAAAAAAAGAAGAACTGGAAAACACGTGTGCTATCTCGGTATTTTCCTGAAGGTACTGAGTAAAGCCACGAAAACTCTCCGACAGAACAGCCGGTCTCCGGACCGAGATCTGAACCCGGGTACTCCGAAATACGAAGCTGGAAGCACACTGCACTCAAGGGCTTTCCTAAACGATCAAGTACGTTCCTTACGCATCCATTGTCACCAGCTGATAAGGTCAGTTCAAGTAACTGCTTTCCGACTTATCTCTCGAAATATAGTTACTGCCTGAAATGCATCGCGAATTCGACGTATTTATAAATCGGGTCATTCAATGTCGCTAATCCCACTGTTCCCTTACAAGTTAGTGGTATCGCCGAAGAATGAGTTTGTGGTAGCCTCCTACTAAATTTCGTCAAAATATGTCCGCCGGTTCTCAAGTTGAAAACTTTTCTGGGTTAATCTTTAATGCGATGCAAAATTTGGTCTCTCGCAACACAGACTGAGGTTGAGGCAAAGCATTCTCTGTTTAACTGTTCAGCCCTGAAGAAGGAGACAGTATGTTTCTCCGAAACATTCGGCTTACAAATTGACATCTTCACCGCCGCGACAGCCTCAAATCCTATTAAAGCGAAGACTCTGACGAAAACGAACCACTTGCTTGCTTTCTGATGCAGATTAGCAACGCCGAGTGGGCGAACGCGAGGCGATGCACTTCAAATGGGCATCACGTCCAGTACTCACTTGACTTGAACACCCCTTCGAGTCCACTACCCGCCACCTAACAGTTTCCTTCTGCGTCGTTAGAACTACGTATTAGGAGACATGACGGGAAACAATTGCATTAGCAATTTCGTTGCAACTAAAACTCGCTATTCGCAGGGTTTAAGGTGAACCTGGCTTTCTTCTGCGCTGCTGAGCCCCGCGGCTCAGAAGTCCCTGCTGCCTCCACCATCAGGGCAATGAGGATACGTTTCACTTTGAGCCAGGAAGCCGTGTTGCTGCCTTGGACTCGTCTAAATTGTGTGCAAGGCGAACTCAACTCCCACCGCTTTTGAAAGGCAGAGCAGTGGGAGGTGACGCGAGAAGAACTTGATTCTTATTAACAGCTCAAAAGGCTACATCCGGTATATTTTAGGTGGTGGTGCTACAGACTTCTGTCCGGAATGGATGAACTTGTGGGTGTCGCCATGGCTAGCAATTCTAGGTTTTAAAAATTGGGATCGGTTTGCGTTGTTTATTTCAGGTGCTGATTGGATTTGCAAATCCGTATCAGTTCGCGATATAACGATAAATCCGGTACAGCGAAAGAGGAACGCGAGCCTATTACGAAATTCTGGACTGGGCACAAACAGAAGGAGCACTAACAAATTTGAACGAGAAATTATAGAGCATTACTCAGTACGAGGAGCCGAAATAATAGAAAGAAACTTGTTCGTAATCGTAAAATTATTACATGAAATTACTGTTGGCAAACAATTCAGCCCGTTTTTGTACCGGTGAAATGGAGGGAGGCGGCAGCAGACCGACCGCCCCCAACCAAATTACGTTCCTTGTCGCCTGTCAACCAAGACGCAGACGCAGAGAGAGAGAGCGAGGCACAGCCGACGATGGCACCGCCAAAGTTCCTGCCGCAGAACGAAAGTTTCCTTCAGATACGAGATTATTCTCGCAGCGCGTCTACGCGGCAGCCCTTGTTGTCGGGAAACTTTCTTTTCGTACAAGTTTCTGGACATTTGTGACATCGGCAGAGTCGAAAATAACTTCGTGTTCATGTGCGTGGAAGTGTTTCTGGGATACCGAAATTTACATATAATTTTCGCACGGCTGACAAGTTCGTATGAAAAAGCCGCGTGTTCCTGAAACACCAGGTAATCAGACAGTTCGATCAATGACCACGGAACGTGTCTGCGGCTTGGGCTCACGATATTAATTGGTCTTTAGAAACTAATTGATTTGGTGATAAACAAATTTCTGCATCACAATCGATACTATTACAGTGCCTTGACTATTGTGGAAGTTCCACAACTGCCCTGTAAGAGACTCGAAATGGGAATATTTTACGCGGCAGTTCAAAACATAATTAAAACACGGCGCTGTGCTGTTCAACGACTGAAGGACCCCGAATAATGATGTAATGGTGAGGTCACCGGCACTGTCGACTCTTCTGAGGAAACCGCTGTGATCGGTGGTAACGGCGACCTCTGGTGCCATGCAAGGCAGGATGTGCGGGTCACCGGGCGTCTTCGTGCTGCTGTGCTACAGTGCGGTGAGTTGGGCCGAGGCCTTTCAGATCCTTTATTCATTAGCCTGAGAAAGTCAGCCTGAACGGGGTATAACAGGCGTTTCGCCTCCTTCAAAGCCACGAGCCAGATAAGCGAAAACGTTTACCTCAGCTCAGACCACGAAACGTCGGATGAACGACGAATAATTTAATAAGATGTGGTTTGAAGGACACGTGGCCCAATACGGCACTACAACGGCGACTCAGAAAAACAAAGTCTCCGGGCCTCCCGAAAAAGAAATAAGCACTCGACTGCGAATTTTATGCTGAGGGCTTCGACTCGCTGCTTGTAGCAATGTAAAAACAAAAATGACAAGGAATAATTTTTCTGTCGCAATGAAAATCTTTCGCACGAGACGCTCAGGAGAGGTCGTAGTGGCAAACGTCTGTCCGACGAACTGCCAACTGATAACGGACTAGAAGAAAAGGCAATGCATGGACGCTCCCACATCACCACATAAGATTTTTGAATTAAAGGTGTGTCTTGTCTCGTGCTTTACGTAATGTGACGTGATTATTAACCTTTTAAGTTCAGTTCCCGACTAACGACTGAGAGCTGTAGTAAAATATAATTTATATAACTGCATAAGAATTATGATCTGTTCCTGTTTCAATGCTAAATGTTTATAATCACTCGCAGTGCCACAAGGTCCAATACGCCGCCACAGGCAACGAAGACAGACTCCTCCGAAATTGCACTTCATATTTTCTGGACAGGCCCGGCCCCCCTTTAAACACAATCAGCAGTTAATGGAGTCCGGAACTGTACAAAGTTGATCCAAAACTGGCCCACTGACTGTTCACTCAGGTACAATTTTCTAATAACATGACATCTCGATCAGCTCATTCTCTGTTATTTACGTGTAAACAGACGGGAGGCATTTTGTTCACCCCTCAGTTTGTCAACAACTGGGTCCAAAGGTGGACGAGGCTGAGCTAACCTTCCCCGTCGTCCGGGTGTTGCAACGCGGTGCTCCAGTTGCGTGCCGGGACCCTTTGCTTCGTGTAGCTGCAAAGGGCCCGAGGGCGTGAAACTCGGCGACCTCATAAGCATTTTGTTCCAAATTACACTTCGATACTACCGGAGGTGACTTACAACACACGAAGTCAATATTTCTTCTGTCTGTTGCGAAACTGTACTCTGCCTCTCCGCCTTATAATCAACGACAGTTAATTACACTGAACGCATGACGGCGGGATCGCGTCCGTCCGTCGACGTGTTTCACCCCCGAAACTACTAAACGCAATTCAGTTTCACGCACGCGCAAAAACGCATCGACGCAGCAAAATTCTCGCGCTCAAACCCACGTCACCGACGTCGTCACAATCATCGAGTCAGCAAGTTTGAAAGTAGACGCAAATTTTCTCTCAAGTCTTTGTCCTTTTAACCAAGTTAGCCTGATTCGCCTTCCAGCTACAGACTGTGAAATCATATTCCGGGAATGAATTGTAATTGTGTTTCAAGCAGCGTTCGGCTAAGTCAGATGGGACGCTTTGTAAGTTGAGGCCATTCCGGGCCCGTGTGGTGTGCATTATAACGTGATTATCGTCTTCAAAAGTTCCGGGGCCTCGTACCGCACCATTTCAATTCCAGGACGTCTGTAAGGCTATGAACGTAAAAGAACGTCTCGCGGTGTGTGGATCGGGCATTATGGAACAACCGTCCTGTCCCGCTGGAGGAAGAGAGCAGTCGCTCAAATCTCTTTTCTAGCCGACCTTCCGAACGTGAAGCGAAATGCTACTCGAACCTTGACCCGTTGGGAAGTTACGAAATGACATGGGAAGTTAACGGTGACCTCCTGGAGGCAAGGCTGCACGCAACACACGCGAACCGTCCCAGTCTAGAGCCGGACCACGACAAAAACACGATGAAAACAATGGACGAAGGCGAAGCTGAATTCAGGGCACGTGACGTGGTTGGAAATTTTAGACAGTCTCGTGACTTCTGTTACTCAAACAAAGCAAATTTCCGTAGAACTTCCCAGGAAGGCGGCGGAGGATTTCGCTTGCACTGAACTCGTTCGGCGGTGAGTGTACTCGGTCTTCCGACTGCCAGGACAGTCACGTGCGTTCGCGCTTTGGCTTATTTATTCAATTTGAAGTTCTCACGGCGATGAAGCTGTCAGCATTTGTCTTGTGGGGTACACACCGAGATTTCGGATGAACGTACCGCCTGGGCCCTAGCTCAGTTCTGTAGCAGTGGGAGGAATGCGGAAACTGTGGTGTGGATGAAATACAACGGCTACTCCGAGTGAAAGCACTCACAAAGTTCTCATTTGTGCTTTTTGCGAAGTCTGCATGCTGTCCACGTCAGAAAGTCGACTGCTCGCCGGCAACGCGGCCGGGATCAAATATTTTCACTTGGCGTTGTATGCAGAGCACGGCTCGCAGTTGCGACGTTTCAGAGGTAGTTGCAGCCTCCCTTCGGGTTCTTGTCTGTTGCGCCTTGCAAAATGCTAAGGTGAGCAGATCATGTGACGTAACACAGAGAAAGAAGGCGGCGGCTGGGCGTGGAGTTCCCAGAGGGCAGTTGCCTTCAAACTGGACACGACCAGGTTCCCAACCAGCGGTCCGCATGCCAAGCACATTTTCCCCCCAACAGTCAACCACCAGAGTAAGCAACTGTTCGTGTCACTGATGGTCAAATCAAGAACTAGGACGGGTCGTAGTGATGAACACTCGCATCTGCCTTTAACACAGGCCAAATGAACTTGTGTTTGTGCTGAATGATGGGAGGAAATAATTTTCGGTCGAAAAGTGAGTCGATTAGCCGTGGCAAACAAATTTTAAAAACTGCATTTCATACTGACGATGTAGCCATCGAGTTACTGTCATAGAGTTTTTCTTGAGAAGCAACAAACCTAAAAAGTCGCGATGCATCCTAGAAAAATGTTTCTCGTCCACACACACGCCCACTGTCGATCTGCGTCATTACATCCTCGCGCCTTAGACTTGCACTTTTCTCGATGTCGTGTCGCCAGACAATCGTCGCCTGGCCATATAAAGGCAGACGTCATTTCTGCGGTCCGCTCGCTTCCTTATACAACAAATCAGCCATCAGGACAGGAAGTGTTTTCAGGGCACAGAAGTCGTTTGGTTGGACATCGCCTCAAATTTTCGCCTTGTGCCCCTGGGACAGGGTAAAACGCATTACTGGCTCGCAATGTTATTTTACAACAAAATGCGCATTCTTACAACTGTAAATTTCAGGATTTCGTATTCAGTGAACTGAAATTCCTAACACGTGGCGGAAAAGCTTCCTTCTTTGGTCGGTGTGCACTCGGTTTTCATGTAGCTCGCCTTCTTGCGACGCCAGTTAAAGCAAACTGAATAAGCCACTGTCACGTCTGAGGAACGCAAGAAACGGGAGGCGACAGACTGGCAGGATCCAGGAACAATCATAACATCTGACAATCGCGGCTTAGAAAAATCTATGACGTAAGTTCAGTTGAGGGAAAGTGCATCTACCGTTAGGGTCACGAAACAGACTCAAGGCAATCCGGTGTGGGTGGAAGACGCCACAGTGACGTGGCCGACCTAACCTTCCTCTTCGCTCACGCGTGAGCCGAGACTGAGAAATTGGTCCAATAGGAACCTGTGACGTCATGAAGCCAGGGCCCAACGCGTGTCTTTCAGTTGGGCCCCATGAGAAGCCGACTGTCATCTTTAAAAGAACCCTAATGACCATTTTCGTGTTGATAAGAGCCAGTCGCTGGTCTCCGACCTAAGTGAGCTGAATTCAGAACACATTTAAGACCCGTTTTAATATTATCCTGCAATTACAAGCTGTATCTTCCGTTCTGGTTTCCCGGCTAACACTTTGAATGAATTTCTCAACAAGACAGAGAACTCGGCTCTTGCCACAAAAAACCTTAATTACTGGGTCAGAACAAACATTTCCATTTCCAAGTTTTTTCTCGTTTGTCTGGTGAAAGTCGTAATGCCACGAGCCGTGTTACAGTTCCATTGCATGCGAGGGGAACGACCCCTTGCAGTCAGGGTCGGGCCACGATGGTGTCGCCCTACGCTGACGTCAGCCGTGCATGTAGCACGCACGGAGGAGACGTTTAATGACGATCTTTACACACACATGTTACATGATCCCTGGTTCAAACCTCGGCTGAGGATTTTTGTGGTTTTTCTCAGTCCCTCCAGGCACATGCCGGGATAGTACGACGACCGCTTTCCTCCCACATCCCTTCCAATTCATTATTCACTCTATTCGCTATACAGTCTGGCGCCGTTAAATAACTACAAGCATTCGAGCGTCCATAAGCAGACTTGAAACGAAGTCCGCTAAATCAAAATCTGGATAGCTCAGGGGCTCGAAGAGCGTGAGAAAATAAAATTGTGTAGTGTCAGTGGTTTTACACGTGAGGCTGTGGCTTTAACTTCCACGTATCTAGCAATTATTTCGTAATAATAATTATGTTTCTGCGGTGAATCCATCAGCACAACATTGTCTCATAAAATTGTTTTCGCAAACATTAATGTCGAAACGGGCTGCTGCTGTTCACCCAGCAAATTAGAAGTTCTTACCTTCGCTCTCTCCGACTCCTCGAGGGCAATTACTGCGATGTTGCGAGACGCCAATCCGTGGGCCGCGGTTGTTTGATCTGAAGCAGAGAATAAAGAGGTCTTCAGAACGAGCCCCACCTTTAAAATGGTAAAAGCAAATGCCTCTCACCCCTGTTTAGTGCCGAGGTCTCTCCCCCCCAAGTGCCTACATGGCGTGTAGCGGGACAGCTTTACTTTTTCCTTTTATTTTGATAACGATGGTTTTCCATTCCCTGCCCCCCCCCCCAATCGTTATCTGAAGAATGGTTGTCGTTGCCACTTCCAGCCCACGCTGCCTTCATCGTCCGTCAACTCAACAGCTCCAGGAAACATCAGGACAAAGACGTGCAACGTCGTTTGCTTAGGGCAGGGGCAAACAATGTCAAGTTCTCAGGCCCTCGTCTTCATTGTATGTTAATTCTTCATCAGAGGCGGCGGGCACAGCTCGAGCGAGCGAGCGAGAAGTACGTTATGACGTGAAGACAACTTAACCTTGCAGATGACAGTGAGTGGGCGTGTCATTAACATAAACATTCGATCGACTAAATTGTAACCGGAAACGGAGTGGTCCGGATTTGATTTACTTTACTATCCTGAGGTGCTGAGGAAAGGCACGAACAGATCTGTCAATAAAATGTCTCCTGCCTGGATTCGAACACACTACTTCCTGAATGCGGGTTCAAGCACCTTATAGTTGTTCCGACGTCCTGGATAACATGACCCCCCACCCCTCGCAATCCGATCGGGAGTCCCGGGTTGAAACGAAGCCTTGTGTTCCAGGTGGCAGTCGCTGGCGTGACGTCAGCCAAAGTGGCGGGATCTGGCGGCATGGGAGGCTGGAACACCGCTCCGAACACGCAGTACCACATACAGACCGACGAGGGACCAGAGCGGTACTTCCGCTACCAGACGATAAGTGGGCAATATCGGAAGGAAAAGCGACTTCAAGACGGCACTGTCGTCGGGACCTACGGATGGGTGGACCCGAACGGTTTCCTGAGGCTCCGGGACTACGTGGCCGACAACGCGGGTTACAGAGTCGTCCGTACGAAGATGATGTTCGTCGGGAAGGACAGCGGCGTGGAGAAGAACAATCAAGTCGTGACGACGACGACACCGGCGCCTCCGCCATCTTATCCCGACATTTCCTCCAACTACCTGCAGTACCCCTCATCCACTGCAGCAAAAGATCTTTCCAGCGGCAACGCGAACCCGTACGTGCTAGGAGGGAACGCACAGTACCCCCTGGTGTCGGCCAACAGGCGAACGTACGACGTGCCGAACTACGCCTCTGCTTCCAGTAACGTGCCGACGTATGATGGGATCTCGGCGACCCACAACGGCTTCAGATATTATCTGCCACGCCAGTACCATGAAGAGGAAAACAGTGGAGCCGAGAGCAGGGCGGGCAGCTTCGGCTACATTGACCCATTTGGTATCAGGAGAGTCATATATTACAATACAGCACCAGGAACTGGGTTCGTGCACAGGAAGAACAACAGATACGTGGGCTTCAACGCAACGCCATACGATCCTCGATACTGAGAAATGAGGGCACTGCGCTTCGGTGTTCTTTCAAACCTCGGTCTGCACTGACCCTCCGACACACGCGATGCTAGGTTGCGGAATTAAACTTATCTTTTTCAAATTGAGGCCCTTCTGCTATACTGTCGTCCGCCACAGTTTCCCACCTAACCTAAGAGACAGATGACGTATCAATTTTCTTCGGAATATTTTTCAACCTGATGCTTATACGACGATATAAAGACGCGTTTACACGGTAATTATCGTGCCGACTTCTTACCGAGATCTAAATTTATCCGGAGATTACAAACGAACAATCTCGGTCTTGCGGTTCATTGTCTATTTCCGTGCAACGGGGCGGGGGGGGGGGGGGGGGGAGGGCGCGTTCCTCCTGTCCGCTCACACAGCGTCTTAAGCACTTTGAGTCACAATAGGACAGACATAGGCCGCAGACTTGAAAGGAAGTCCGCTAAATCAAAATGTGGATAGCTCAGGGGCTCGAAGGGCGTGAGAAAATAAAATTGTGTAGTGT